ACTTGTACATTGGTGAAACTAAGCAGCCGCTTCACAAACACATGGCCCAACACAGGAGGGCCAACTCCAGTGGACCAGAGTCAGCAGTCCACCTCCACCTGAAGGACATTCTTTTGAGGACAGTGAAGTCCAGATCCACTCCAGAGAACATCGCTGGTTTGAGAGAGGAGTTAAGGAAGCTATTTTTGTCCAGATAAAACACCCCTCACTAAATAGGGGTGATGGACTAAGACACAACTTGTCATCCATCTACAATCCTGTTTTGAGATCCCCGCCCAAACATGCCCACCAGGACAATAGGCGTCGGTCCACAGGGAAGGATTCAAAGACAGGTAATGACTCTCACCGATACTGGGCTATAACGACTCAGTCGTTACGAGATGGCTCAAAGAAAATGTTGGTTTCGTCTATACTACTAGGTACTTATACTTTATTGTCTGGGTTAAATAGAATTGCATTACTAAAAGAGACTAAAATACAATTTTCATTGACTAAAACTAGATTAAATGTCATTAGTTTCTGTCGACTAAAACCAGACTAAATATCATAAGTTTTCGTCGGCTAAAACTATATGAAAATAGTCATGGATAATTCTGACTAAAATAAGACTAAAATGCTCAGACTTTTCGTTGACTGAAGCTTGACTAGACTAAAAAGAGTATGAACGTGACTAAAACTAATAAAAACTAAAATGACAGCTTCACACAAAGACTAGACTAAAACTAAAATTAAAACAGGCCGCCAAAAACAACTGTAATGACGTGAACATCTTGTCAGAATTTTCCGTCTGCAGGTCAGCGTTTAGCACAAAGCAGTGAACACCTTGAGATTTCTGCTGCTACACTGTGAAGACAGGAAGCCCACTCACTTACATTATATCACATGATGAACTGAATCAGCTCCATCACAACCGAGCAAACTCCATTTGCTGATGAAGGTTGTGAGATATGACTGAAAGCTCTAGAGAAAGGCACTAAGTGGACTTTGAGCTTAAGGTTTTATTGTCAGATTATTTGAAGTCATTAACCCTGTCTGAGAAAAACAGTACTGAGGAAGTATGAACATGGAAATCCATTTCCATGGCCTAAAATGCAGTGTGCGTCTAAGGAGAGAAGTACAGAAGATGTTATCTTACACAGAAAAGCTGGTATTTGTTGCCACTAAAATGGGACATTTTTGTGTTGTACTGCATTTGCAATATGTGGACATAGTAACTTTAACTCCAGCATAAATAATCTCTAGAATTCAAACATGTTACATTAGAACCAGTTCAGGTAAAATCAGTCCATAATAATCTGCCTTGTACCAGTTATATCAAGCTGTGGTTTTAAATTACTCACTTTCTATAGTTTGTGGATCTGTGGCCACAGATAAATCAAAGATAAATTACTTTTTTGTGTGTGTCCTCTTATTGCACCATTTTCTCATTGCTAGTCTTATTCCTATAATGACGTCTCAGTGTTCTCCTCTTCGCCCCCCTCCCCCATCTCCTTCACCATCATCACCTCCTCCTCTGCTTTCGTATCACTGAGTTTTCCATTCTCTTTTCCCTTAGGGTCCTCTTCGCCTGCCTCATCTTTCTCCTGATGGTTCAGCCCCTCCCTCTCTGAAGCAGTCACAGCCATCTCCATCTTAGCCTCTGGATCTTCCTGTTTCTTGCTAATGCAAAGGAAGTTACCCAGGGCAATGACAATAGCCGACAGTGTGACCTCACAGCCCGCCAACAGAAAAACATACATGTACTGATGAGTGTAGTCCAAGAGGCGACCTGGTAGAGAGTACAAGAATATTAATATGATTGTTATCACCACGTCACCAGATAGTGTCAGCAAAATGGCTTTTTTGTGCATTGCTGTCACTGGCTACAGTTTTAAGTGTTTTGAGTGGCTATATACCAAGAACTCCTCCATCTGTAAAGGTTGGATACAAAATGGCATGCCTGTTAGTTTATACTGACAGGGGTCCTTTCATGATTCCACCACATATTAGTCATTTTAGGAAAATGTTTTTTCTCCTTCCTGGAGCAGATCATTGTTGTAAAATAGGATGCAGTTTTGCTTCAGTTAAACAACAAAATACAGTGCTGGTTCATTTTACATGGTTAGATTTAATGTGTTAACTGGTTGTTGACTGAGCCACTCGCCATCTGCCAAACTAAATTCAATTGTCAGTGAATGTTTTCTCGACAAAAATCTTTTGAGACAAAGCTGTGTGGCTTAAACACATTTTAATGGTAAATCAGTCATAGTCATTTCTTTTTCCACTCACTATAGGGCATGAGTGGACAGAGTTTTGCAAATATGGTTTGGATTCTTGTTTTGTTTTAAGCATTTATTTTTATTTGTTGACCAAATTAAACTATTTAAATAAAATAAGCAGTATGAAAACTTTAACCACTGACTTTTCTACTCTGAGGGACTCTGACACACCTCAACCAAGGTCATAGTAAAAGTGTCTTGTGGGGGATCCTGTTGGCTTTGGGATTCAGACTGTGGCCATCAACCACAACATGTTGAAATCCTGCCAGACACATTTGTTACATCCATCTCTCCACTGTTTCCTATCACCTTTTCAGTATCATTGTATAGGCATAATAAGGCCAAAAAATAAATAAATAATATTAAAAAAATAAAACGAAAGAGACACAATATGGTTTGAATACTCTTGAGACATTAAGTCCTAGTTAATAAATATGCAAATTTTTTGTTCATACCTAATTTTAAAAAATGAAAATTATGATCATTAAGTATTACACATCTTATACACATCTTTGGACATTAGAAAACATACATTCCCATGCCTCACTGACCTGCACCCGGAGGTCCCACTAATACAGCGATGGCTTCCATCAGCAGCACCAGGCCGATGGCACTAGAGAACTTCTCTGTACCGACGATAGCCATGAGGACCTCGAACTGTAGTGCTCCCACCATGCCATACGACATCCCAAAGAACATACAGAAGACCACCAGCCCTGCATAGTTATTCGCCTGCAAAGGGACAGACGAGCAATTTGTGAACATGGGGATGTGTTGGTGATGAAATGGGCCATGTTGTACATGCTGTACAGTAACAAGTCTAATCCACAGTATGCACTTTGAATGCTAATGAACTGACCTCCATCAATATCTGTACAATGGTAAAACATGGTTTCTACTGCATTTATGAAGCAACTCCAGATTCTCTATAGCAGTTTGTCCTTATGGCTTATAGGCATGTACTGCTCCATTGTCCTCGTAACACTGAGTCCGATGCTACATTCTTACCTGCGATCCTATGAGGTCAGTGCACCCATTGAAGATCATAGCAAAGCTGAACAGGTAGACACTTCTGGGCCGGACATACTTCATGCCTGCTATGAGTCCTGACACGGGCCGAGCAAACATATCAACAAGTCCCAAGATGGTGAGCAGCAATGCTGACTTAGTGTCCTCATAGCCCAGCTCTTTAGCATAGCTGACCACAAACACAGGGGGCACAAACAAGCCCAGGACCATGATAGACGCCGCAACGGTATAGATGAGAAAGCCTTTGTCCTTGAACACACTGAAGTCCAGCAGCTTCTTCTTCTTTGGCGGCGGCTTCTTCTCCTCCTCTTTGGCTGCAGGAGCGCTCTCCTCCTCCTGGGATTTCTTAGGGGGTAACAGAGGTCTCATGAGGGCACCACAGGCACAGCAATTGAGCAGTATGCCACCAAGTATGAGGAACCCTCCCCTCCAGCCGTACTGGTACTGGAGATCGTACTGAGGAGGTGATGCAACCGGTGAGCTTGGTAGACCTTGGCTGTCTGCTCCTTACTCATCTCCACACAGTCTCTCTCTCTCTTCTGAAGTTCCTCAAGTTCATCAAGATCCCTCCACACACACACACACACACATTAACAAAGGCTTTTGTATGAACTAATAAATAAATTTCAGTAAGCGTGTTCAAAACATTTTCATTGCGTCATTCCATTTTATTACACATAACTTAGTCTTTGAACTTAATTGTTTTGTTTTCTTTGTATGTATGGATTACTTGGGTTATTACTGACATCTGGTGAAAATTTCATGTCAACAGCAGCTTTAGAAATATATTTACTGAGAAAAATGGTGACATGTTCAATACTTATTTTACATACAAATAGATTTCTGTGTCCTTGTTATATGTTTAGTTTCCCCCTTTGTGCAGATATGCTGTGATGTTACCTGTAATAACTCCAGTGCAGAGGTAGATGTATATGATGCTCGTGGAAAAGGAGGCCAGAATCATTCCCAGTGAGGCAAAGAGCCCTCCGACCATCATTACCGGGCGACAGCCAAACTTGTTCACCAACACACTGCACAGGGGACCTGAAAAAAAAAACGACTCACTGAAAAGTATGCAGCATACACATGTGTAGGTTATCACTTTGACGTTAGCAGGCTTTGAGTTTCATCATATCCTTATTACTTGAATTCATTTTTCATATTCTATTTATTCTGTGTTTATTCTACTTTTATTCTATTTTAGTTTCTTAAATGGTATGGGATTCAACATTAGGTGAGAGAGAAACAGTATTTCGATTTTTCTGTATGTCCTGCACATATAGTGAATTGACAAAAATATTTGAATGACTATCAGAGGTAAAGTACATGTGTGTATTATCCTTGGCTACCTGTGCCGTACAGCATGGCGAGCAGTATCGATGAGATCCAGGCGGTGTCACTGTAGCCTACACCAAACTCTCGAATCAGCTCCTTGAAGAAGACACTGACGGCCTTGGGGAAGGCGTAGGAGAAACCGGTAATGACGAAACAGCCAATCAACACCGCCCAACCCCAGCCACCATCTGGTGCCTTCACCCCAGTAGGCCCATCATCCACCACTGCTCCTCCCATGATGCTCTTTGACTGCTGTGTGGAGGTCAGTGGCTATAAACAGAGTAGTCAAAAACAGACACAGACTTTAATCTCTTATGTAGTGTGGAAATTCTTGAATAATCATATCTATTTAATGGCAGGATGGTACAGTTCAGCACAAGAGCACTGCCACTTTTTTCTGACCAGTGTCTCTCTGTATTTATACTGAAACAGAACAAAGGACCTACCCTCAAAAATCCATTAAAGAGAACGTGTCAGGTTTGCTCGGTGGTACCTTCCTCTCTTCTTTTCCTCGCACTAGCCAGCTCCCTTGCACTGATTACATGATTAGACACACCTGCCTCTATTCACTGATTCTCACCAGCTGCGCCTCGTCAGTCTCCCTCCTTATTTATACGCTGCTCACCGATCACTCCCCTGCTAGTTCTTTCTTTGTCTTCAGGCCTCCCCATGTATGTTACCGCTGTTGTTTATTCTCTGTTTCTTTCCTGCGCCTACCCGAGTTCCTGTCCTGCCCCGCCGTCTCTGGTTTCCCTCCGCATCGGACCTCTTCTCTGGACCCTGGTTACCCTCAGCTCCACCAGTCACCGCCTTCACAGGTCGATGCACAGTCCTCAGTAATCTGTCTCTCTGATATTCCCTCCTCAGCCATCCTCATCTCCTACCCGACCAGTCCAGGAGTGACTCCTATACCCGCAGCCCGGCCCATCATCACTCCATTGACTGCCACTCCTGCCACTGCTGATCGACACCCGGTCTTTTCTACACTCTACCCTTCTTGTAAATATTGTCGCACTGATTGGCACTGTAAATAAATTCCACTACTTGCATCGAAGCCAGCCGCCTGGGTCTGTTGTTTCTCCGCTCGCTCATTTGTGTGTCGAGCGTTTCTAACAGAACGACATGCATACAAGTGTCAGTCACAGTCCTTTTCTTGTTCTTGATTGTCATGCCAGATTGTGCAATTACACTTAATTGTGTCAAGCAATAAAAACTCCTTAGTGCTCCCACCATGCCATATGACATCCCAAAGAAGATAAAACAATAAAACCAACATTCTTCGGGGTAGTATAACAATAGACCTTTCAGCAGCAGCAGCAGCATTCTTCACATCAACACCCATGGAAGTTGTTAGGTATTTTTTAGTCAGATAGATATTGATTAGGTACAGTACTTGTTGTATTAGAAATGTTTTTAGCGTAGACAGGATGTCTAGCTCAGGCTGTTAGATGCTTACACATTTCCATGAGTTACTCCAGGGGCCCGTTTCAAGAAGGAGGTTTAACAAACTCAGAGTTCAAACCTGAACTCTGAGTTGACTTACACAGAGTTGGAGGTTTTCGGTTTCAGGACAGCTGAAAAGAGTTGGTTTAATCAACTCTGAGTAGGTTGACTCAGAGTTAGGCGCGTGCAGCGCGGCTATAAAAAGCCCTGAACAATGGAGTGAAGACATTACGAGTCACCAGTTGA